CGAAAAAAAAAAAAAATTATTCCCGAATTTTTTTTTTATAATTAAAAAAATCTGTTAATGTCATTCTATTTATCATTGACTCATTAGTTTGGACTAATAATTTTAATTGGTTAGTCCAAATGACTATTAAATCTTCTGCATTGATTGCACATATTTAATATTCCATTAGATATATTTATTTCTTTTTTTTTTAAATATATTGGTGGTATATTTTTCTTTATTTTTTCTTGATAATAACTATAATCGTTTCTATATATAAAATCTCTAAAATTTCTTTCTACATAATTATTTTGTGAACTAGATGATTCATTATTATTTGTTCTAGGTCGTTTTGGTGATAATGGTTGTGTTGTATGAGGTTTTTGATCAGTCATATTAAATGTGGGTTGATCTTCATCTTCACTATCTATTCCATAGATTATTACTTGTTTATCCTCATCGTCTATTTTTGTCATTCTTGTTTCTTCAATATTACATTTTTCTAATAACTGGGTTAATCTATCTGTAATCATCCATTATAACTTGTTGGCGGTTCTATTTGAAATGGTTTAAATAATTTTTTCCGTATTTTTTCTTTTTTTACTAAATCTTGTAATTCTATTACTGATTCTTTTATCTCTTCTAATTTTTCCAATGTTTCTAATTGATTTTTTTTTGTTATTTCTATAAGGGTTCCTATTTGTTCTGAGACTCTCGGTGAATCATTCATAAATTATTATTTTCATTATTATTTATTTATTTTTAGTTTTATTTTTATTTTTAGTTTTTTATAATTTTTTCGAATTGCTAGATGGGAGTCCATACATGATGCTGACTAATGACATGGCATATGTGATGATGCTATTTCAACACAAATAATTGTCTTATTCAATAAGAAGAAAAAAGTTGTAAACTATCACATACAATTATTCTTGTAAAAAAGTTTAATTTAGTTTTATTAAAGAAAAATCTAAAACATAGAAAACATATAGGGCGAAATTTTTAAAATTTGTCCTATAACTTGGTTATTGTCCAAAAAACCCCTCCTATATTGACCACTTTCAGTTTATATCATATAATTTGTCGATTTCATCAATTTTGGTCATTTTTATCCGGACCCTGGATTAAAAAGTGACGTGGCATGACATGTCAGTTTTTTAAAGTTACATGGCGTGATTATGATCTACGTGGAATGGAACGTCAATTTTGGTCCTATAATTTGTCGATTTCATCAATTTTTGGTTTTTTTTTTCATGCCAAATTGATGAAATCTACAAATTATAAGATCTAAATTGAAAGTGGTCAATATAAGGATGATTTTTTAGCCAGTGGTCAATTAGAAAACTAATTACACAGGATTTCCAAACTGACAAAGCACAAATAAGTACTAAGAAACAATGTGGAGGAATAATAATGAAATCTCTGTTATGAAAAGGATCCAAATTAATTTTCAATATGTAATTAGATATTGATCGACGATATTTCAGCTTCCAACGACCAGCTGACACAGCACCTCCTTTTTTAACCATTTACCTTGCACAACTTTGGTGCACGCCATCTTGAATACTTCAAACGCCAAAAGAAAAACATTTATTAGAACTCTATATATAATCACATAGTACTAGATAAATCTCTTCACATTCAACTTATTACACATATCATCATCATCAAACATAAATGGCAAATTCCTCAGTAAACCTAAAGCTACTGATAGACAGCCGAGCGAAAAGGGTGTTGTTCGCGGAGGCCGGCAAAGACATGGTAGATTTCCTCTTCTACATACTCTCTTTGCCGGTCGCCAACTTAATCAGCCTAGTCGGAAAAGAAGAGATGGTGGGGTCGTTAGCCAACTTGTACGAGAGCGTACATACGCTGAACGAGACCTATATCCAACCGAACCAGACAAAAAACACACTCCTCAAACCGGCTTACCCGGTCCCTGGCTCCACAGCTGTTCCTCTATTGGCCCTCAAGGACTCTTCCTCGGGTGCTGGTCACAAAACGTTCTATGGGTGCAGCTGTCCTGAGTATGGTACTGGCTATATGAGCTATGTTAGTGATGGCCCAAATGCCACCTGTCCAAGCTGCAACCGATTAATGTCAAGAGAAGTGACTTACGTGGCCCCACCCGTTGTGAAAAAGGTGCCGTCTGGTCCGGAAGGCGGGTTCGTGAAGGGGGTGGTGACTTACATGGTGATGGATGATTTGGTGGTGACTCCTATGTCGACAATCTCTAGTATTACTCTGCTTAATAAGTTCAATGTCAAGGAAGTTGGAGCTTTGGAGGAGAAGGTGGTCAGTGTGGGCATGTCCGAGGTTAGTATATTCAATTTTAATTATTGTTTAATTACTTACTTAATTGCCTAATTGTCATTTTGTGTGGTTTAATTTAATTACTTTAGGCTGTGAAGTTGGTGAAGGCTTCACTGGAGACCAAGAATGTGCTCACCCATGTTTTCCTGCGCCGTTGAGTCGTGGACAATGCATGGCGCAGCCGACGTTGGCTTCGACTGCTGCTATGAATTTTTTTTTTGTTGCGCAATGTTTTTGAATTTTAATGTTTTATCTTTTTATGGGGGGGGTTGTGACGTTTGTCTAATTTGCTGGCTTTATGAGCTTTGAAAGTTACTTTCAAATCTAAAAGAAGTACTGTGTATTAAATTAATATGGCTTAGCATTTGTCCCGACATTATCTTCTGCACCGTTCCAAAATTTGGAGATCTTCGAAATTGAATCTACGTACGTAGCAAAACCTGTGTGAAGAAAGTATCCGAATTTTCGATTTGGTTTGGAGATTTTTGGAGGATTTTATGGACCACTATCCAAACAATTATTAGTATGTTATTTGCATATATTACTAAATCTATGCAAGTGTGAAAATAACAATGTACAAAATGAACTGTAAAACAAAATCTCTATCTCTATCTCTATCTCTATCTCTACTATCTTAAAATTCTCAATATTTCTGTCAAAATTGTGATAGCCCAAATTGTCCTTACTTTTTTATGTTTTTAATGGCTTAATTGTCATTTGTGTAGAGAGAGAACTAATCTTGATTATATAAATTGACTATTCTTTTGCAAATCTCACTCACATTTATGTACGCATTTAATGAGAAAGAGAGAGAGATCTAGTAGTAATCTTGATTATATAAATTGACACTCTTTTGCAAATCTAACATATTGGCTATTTATTTATTTATTTATTTATTTTATTTTTGTAGTTTTGTGTATTTTTTTATTTTATTTTATTTTTTTTGTTAATGGATGCAAATTTTTGGATAAGTTTTGGATTTGGATATTTTTCAAATTCTTAAGATAATTTTGTTAACTCACGATTATATTGATAAATATTCTCATTAATGCAATTTCACTTATAAATTATATTATACTATTTATTTAAAAAAATGTAAGATAAAAATTCTACAAGAATAATAATTTGGATTACATTTTTATATTAACCCAAGATAATTTTGTTAACTCACGATAAAAACCTATCTTATATTGATACATTTTCTCATTAATGCAATTTCACTTAAAAACTATATTATGTTATTTATTTTAGAAAAATATAAGATAAAAATTATTTTACAAGAATAATATTTTGGATTACATGTTTATATTAACCCAAGATAATTAGGTTAACTCACGATAAAAACCTATCTTATATTGATAAATTTTCTCTATAAAGCTTAGCACGTTAGGTTCGATGTAATTGAATAAGTCTTCCATCCGGCCGGAAAAATAGTGAAGCTGGTCCCTGACGTCGAGCGTTTCAAACCTCTTATCCCTCGTCAGCTGAAAACAAGAACCGTCACAAACTACCTTGTCCTGAAATCCCACCTTTCCGATGTCACAGACGGCTCCGGCACAAGGCAGTAACGATCAGGACATGAGGGGTAACATCTCATTAATGCAATTTCACTTATAAATTATATTATGCTATTTATTTTAAAAAAAAAATAAGATAAAAATTGTAAGAGAATAATATTTTGGATTACATGTTTATATGAACCCAGATAATATGATATATCAAAAACGCGTTTAATATATTTGGGGGATAATAATTAATAATAGGCTTAATTGCTAATAAATCCATGACTTTTTCAAAAATTGCAAATTATATGCATCACTTTTAAACTTAGCAAATATATACACACTTTTACAATTTTTGGCAATTGTATGCACCCGGGCCCAATTTCGGGCTTTGACTGCTGACATGGCTGCTGAGTTTAAACGTGATGCATATAATTGCAACTTTCAAAAATTTCATGGTTTTATTAGCAATTAAGCCAATAAAATATCTATTTGATTTTAATTTAATATTTATTTTATTATATTTTCTATATTATATTATATTATGTTATAAAAAAATAAATATAAGATAATGAATATTTATTATATAATAATAATAATAATAATAATAAACTTATAATAAATAAAATATAATAAAATAATGTAAATTATATTAATAAGATATAAACTCATAATAATTAAAATATAATAAAATAAATTATATAATAATAAATGAAAAATAAATTAAAATAAAGTAAGATAGATTATTATAATATAGTGCATTTAAATTAAATTACATTAAAATAATTATTATATTTATTAATTCTAAATTTAATTATATAAATTTGAAAATAAAAAATAATAATGATAGAATTAAATTAAAAAATAAATTAGATTAAAGTGCACCGGTGAAAACTAAATAAGAATAAAATAATCTAACATAATAAAGTATAAAAATAAAAATCTATTTATTTTATTTATTTTACAATTTTTATGTAAATATATTATCTATTATATTATCATATATTTTATTATATTAGATAATATAAGATAGTATTAGATAATATAAGGTAATATAATATGAGATAATGTGTTTTTTTATAAAATGATATAATATAAGATAATATATTATTTATTAATTATTATATTATATTATCTTATATTTATTATATTATAAAATATAATATTATATAATGTAATACATTATAATATTATTATTATTATAATATAATAAATATTCATTATCTTATATTTATTATTTTATAAGATAATACAATATAAGATAGAAAATATAATAAATGAAACAGTAAAATAAAATTAAATAAATATTTTATTGGCTTAATTGCTAATAAAACCATGATCTTTTCGTAAATTGGAATTATATGCATCATTTTTAAACTCAGCAGCCGTGTCAGCAGTCAAAGCCCGAAATTGGGTGCATACAATTGCCAAAAATTATAAAAGTGGTGTATATATTTGCCAAGTTTAAAAGTGATGCATATAATTGCAATTTTCAAAAAAATCATGGATTTATTAGCAATTAAGCCTTTATAATATGAGAACTTTTAGGAAATATTTATGGATTTAATTACTACAAAATAATTACTGACATCATTTATATGATAAAAGAAATTACTAAAATTCACTAATATATAATACATTTTTTAAAATAATACATTATTAATTAATATTTTACAGTAACATTTTGATATTTAACTTTTATCATTTTATAAGTTATTCATTACTTCTACATTTAATTCATAAAGTTATATAGTGTTAATTTTTATTTTTATTTTGAGCAAATAATACGCTTATGATATTAACTTTTATTTGTGAAAAAAAGGACTAACATGTGGTATTTCATATTAGATAATTTTTTAAGAAAATAACTTCACATATATTTTTTATTTATCTTTTCATCGTGTTACTCACTATGAAAGTCCAATCATATGTCACAATGTTACATATTAAAATTAATTTGTAGTAAATAATTTTGTTCATTCTTCTTATGTTTTTATTATATATGTATCTATTAATATACATAACTTATTATGTAAATATAGTTTAATTTTTAAATTTAATGTCTTGTGTTTGAAAATAATTTTATATAGCTGTGGATTTCTTTATGTACATTGACCAAAATAAGTACATAAAATATGAAACATAAACTTGAAACATTAGAAATGCCTAAAAATATCAAAGGGCATAAATTTATTGCACATGTCTATTACATTACAAAATTATTTGTCTCAATATAAAAATGTATCTTAATTTTTGTATAATGTCATGTTATAATTTATTCATTCATAGAAAACAACTATTTTACTGAATTAATTTGTCATATCATTTTCAACATTAATGGTTCTAATTTTTTCCAATAAATTTTGGGTGGAAAGATTCGTTACAAAAATAGCACTAGAAATTGGCTATTAATAATAATAATTAATATTGTTATAACTTTTAGGAAGTATGTTATGGATTTCATGAACTAAAAATAAATTATTATCAGCATTTATATTATAAAAGTTATATATTTTTTTTTTAAGTTCACTTGCTTTTGTGTCAACCGAAAAACACGCAGATTGAAAAATAAATTACTAAAGTACAAAAGGCTTGTGAAACTCTTAACTAATACTAGCTTATCCATATACAACGCTCGAATTGTAGTACAATAATTCAAATGATATATCATTGAATAATATTATATTCTATTTTCATAATAACAATTTGATATTTAACTTATATTATTTTATCAGTTATTAATTACTTCTACATTTTAATTTATAAAATAATGATTGTTAATTTTTATTTTTATTTTGAGCCGCCAATGATTTAATAAGCGACTCATTAGTTCTTCATTTTAATGTCATGTAATTGGTGTTTGAAATAATTGTTTATCTCTTTTTTCATATTTTTATTTATTTTCAGCATAATATTTTTCAAACCAATGCGGAAAAATGCACTAACATGTGGTAATGTTAAATATTTGTTTTAGAATAACTTCTCACACCTTTTTTATTTATTATTTCATTGTGTTACCCACTATGAGAGTCCAATCATATGTCACCATGTTACATATTTAATATTTATTTGGAGTAAATAATAAATTTTCTCATTCTATTTTCTTAGTTATATATATATATGTGTGTGTGTGTGTGTGTGTGTGTGTGTGTGTTTGTATGTGTGTGTGTCTATATAAGTATATTTAGAAAATATACATAAATTATTATGTAAATGTAGTTTAAATTTTAATGCCTCGTGTTTGAATAATAATATTATACAACTATATATGATTTTTTTATTTAATTTAGATTTATCAAATTAAGTATTTAAAACATAAAATATAAACTTGAAACATGAGAAATAATAGCAAAATTAAGTACGTCAATATGTCAAGATTCATTGTACTTTTACATTGTGCAAATATTTGTATCGAGTTCAGTACTTATTCTATACTCTTGGATAAAAGCAAATATGCCTAATTCAAATTGTTTATATTTATTGTTTAATATGAGATAGATTAAGTTGATTAATATGTTACTTGTGAACCACAATAAAGTAAAATATTAAAATTAAAATGCTAATAGATATAACCGATTGTTCTATTAATATTACATTAAGTTTTTAGGCAAAAGAAACTTTACCATGTCCATATTATCATATCATTTTCAATTAAA